CGGTTTCACATTTTATGTTTTGCAGTTTTTATGGGCGTTTTTTACAATTACATTTAAGGGAAGCAACTTTTTCTGTCCTAAGGTAACTTATCTTTAATCACGAATTTACATAACTTCCGTCCAGGGGACAGGTACTCCAGCTTTTTCTCACCAATTGAAGTTGCACATTGGTAATAACTTAGTGATGTTCAGTTACGAAGGTTATGCTATGTAGGTAAAATAGTAATCTATTTCGTATTCAGCAATAAGTGCTGCACATTTGTGATAACTTAATAACATTCAATTACACAGGTTACGCTCTGTAGGCAAAGTAGTTATCTAATTGGTATTCAACAGTAGATCTTACACATCTGTGATAACTCAGTGACCATGTGCAGTGAAACATGATATCTAGCAGTAGTTACAGCATATTCTCCTACATATTACTGTAAGTTATCACCTTCACTCACTAGGGCTACAGTTGTGTATAGTTAAAACTTTTACATTTCGTTTGATACACTTAGTTGAGAAGTCTGTCAAATTGGATATATAGATGTTTGTTAGTTGATTTTCGCACAAAGCTAGTCGAGGCCAACCTGCGCTAGTCGTCCCTAATTTAGAAGTGATAGCGTGGCGGGAATGAAAGTAGTCATCACCTACTCTTAGGCTACTCTAATCGAACAGTGGGATTGACCGTCGGCTGAAAGAGCGAGCATGTTCGGTGATGGGATTCGAACCCACGACCCGCAGGTTGCGAGTCGAGCACCCTAACCATCAGGCCAGAATATATCGAAGCATCCCATTTCACCAACCGACTGGAGAATGTTTTATCATGTGATATCAAAGACTTATATGCGCTCTGTCCGCCTCAAAGAATCGAGCTCCAGATTTTAGCGTTGTAAACTTATCACTGACCCACCAGGGGACTTTATCTAAATTAATTATCAAAATACTGAACTAAATTAAATATAAGGAGTTATGAGGGGAGCTAAAAAAGAACTTATAACAATATGTTAACCACATTATATCTACTACATCCAATTCCGACGAGGCCTTTCGCTCACTACCAGGACTAGGATATCATAGACACAGTGTGAACTAGATTAAGTTGGTGAAGTGCAATTTTTATCAATTTTATTCATAAACTAGAATTAGGGTAAGGATTAATAACAATATTAGCAAAGAAAGTTAATTCTATAGGTCAGAACTACAAAGCAATCTAATGAACGAAACTACTACTAAAGTGGTCACGGTATCTGAATGAACTGCGCGTGCCTTGTGTAACCGAGAGACACTTGAGCTGGTATTTCTATTTCTATTTACTTAACACAGAATTGTTGTAAAACTGGCATCACATTAGTTATTTGATTAGCTCAAATAGAGTATATTAATTTTTAAATATAGGTTACGTTTTTTGCCGGATCAGGTGTTTTATACTTGATTGAGCTTACCATGTTTCGTCAGATTAGATATTTGTTTATTGAACATAAGTTACCGTTTTTAGCCAGATTAGGTGTTGTATACTTGCCATTATTTACCGTCTTTGTCCAGGTTAGATATTGTATGTTGGTTATAAGTTGCAGTTTTTAGCCAGATTAGGTGTTGTATACTTGACATTATTTACCGTCTTAGGCCAGATTAGATATTTTATGTTGGATATAAGTTACCGTTTTTAGCCAGATTAGGTGTTGTATACTTGAGATTATTTACCGCCTTTGTCCAGGTTAGATATTGTATATTGGTTATAAGTTGCGGTTTTTAGCCAGATTAGGTGTTGTATACTTGCCATTATTTACCGTCTTTGTCCAGGTTAGATATTGTATATTGGTTATAAGTTGCAGTTTTTAGCCAGATTATATGTTGTATACTTGACATTACTTACCGTTTTTGGTCAATTAAGTACTGTATATTGTAAATTAAAGTGAAATAAATTTCGTTAGCGATTCTAAAGCTAACTGATGGGAAAACATTTTGTATGATAAGACAAATTAATATACAGGTTAACCAAAAATGTGTCTTTTTTTTTCTTTCGTTTTGGAAATACCACACACACTACTGAAATTAATTACTCTTGGATATTAAACATTATTCTCTATATTTGACCAGATTAGATATTAGGTGCTAAAATACAGTATAGATTAATTTTACATTCCGTTTCAAAACGTAACATAGTCACGTTGATAATCCAATAAACTCGCAACTTGTTGAATATAACGTTTCGTGACTCATTTCAAGGTTGTCTTATAGGAAGCATCTCTACACCTTTTAAAATAGTTGTACTACTAACATGCTAGAAACGTTTGTCTTTGTAACTCATTATAGCGGTAACTGTGTACTTCGGAAATATGGGTGTCGCGTATTTGTTATCATAAAAGATTTCTTGTTCCATTTAACATCGCCTGTTAAAGTCTTATCTTAAAATCTTGAAATGTTATAAAACGACAAACTCTTAACGTTAGCCACTTAGTCGGAAAGATTATCACTACTTTATAACATGCGAGATACATTAGTACATTGATAAAGTTCATTTTCTTGTACTTTCACTGGGTTGGCCCGGCATGGCCAGGTGGTTAGGACACTCGACTCG